TATTCCAATTTGGATAGATAGTATTAGGATATCAGTTTCTTTTTATTCACTTAATTAGGATATCACTCTTTAATTATATTTTAATTTGGCCTTTCAAAAAAAGTACTTCATATATTCTAATGTGGATTTTGTAATTCTGAAGAGATTTTAATGTAGTTTTTAAATTTGTAAATTTTAATAATTAAACATTGTATTAATTATCATTAAGGAGGACTTAACATTAACATGACCAAAAAATGTTTACTTTGCAAATCAATTTGGGATGAATGAGGTAATTAATAAATTTTAGATAAACTATAGTAGTACAAATTTAAATAATTAAGGCTAAAGGGTCAAATAGGTACATGAACTAACTTAAAGTGTTCAATTAGCCCCTTATATAGGAGGTTCTGCCCGGCCGTCACCAATTGGGGCGGTTCCCGGTGGAGTTTTTTAATGAAATTTTTTAAGCATCTTCTTCATTAAGTCTAGTTTACCCATACCAAATTTCAGCTAAAATTTCAACCGGGAAGGCAATCAAATGATTTTTTGAAGATAACTGTGCAGTTACACAGCGCAATACGTTTCGGAAAATTCCTTCCCGATTTAATTTTTAGCTGAAATTTGATATGGGTAAACTAGACTTAATGAAGAAGATGCTCAAAAAATTTCATCAAAAAATTCAACCGAAAACCGCCCAATTGGCGACGGCCGGGCAGAACCTCCTACATAAGGGACTAATTGAACACTTTAAATTAGTTCATGTACCTATTTGACCCTTTAACCAATAATTAAACCATACTTCGGTCCCATTCGGTCATGTACCGGTTCTCATTATATGAGAATCCTTCATAACATTGTTTGGAATAGTACGGTTTGATTTGGGACAAAAAAATTTGAAATCCGTTTCGAACCCCATTTATCGGTCTGCTACCATACCGATCTAGTTCGGTACCATGCCTGTACAATATTTTTCTCCACGTCTAGTTTATGCTCAAAAAGGCTGAAATACAAACAAGGCCAATACGCTCATTAGAGGCGGGGGGTATGTGACTATGAAGGAGCAGAAACAGAAGTCGAAGTATTTGGGTGAAAATGCTTAAGTGATTCTTGTGTTCTAATTTATTTCTAGAATCAGTTTTCTCAAAAGTTGGAGAAAACCAACTTTTGAAAACTGATTCTGATTCTGTTTCTGCTTTAGGGGGTGTTTGGATTTGATTCTTAAAACTGATTCTGCTTCTTGAGGGAGCAGAAGCAGAAGCTGGAGTGTTTGGGTGAAAGTGTAAAAGCGATTCTGGTACTCAAATTTACTCCTGGAATCAATTTTTTAGAAGTTGAGGGTGACCAGCTTCTGAAAATTGATTCCGATTCTGGTTCTAATTTAAGAGCAGAATTAATTGTAAACACTACTATGTCAACACGACATTGCTACAAATGTCACTGGATTTTTTCCTCTTGATTTTATTTAAAAAAAATCAGGAAAAGTACTTGACCGGTGGAAACAGTGCGGCAGCGGTGGGCTAAATATTAGAGAGAAAGAAAGAAAATTTGGATAATTCAAAAAAAGAATAATAAATTCTTTGAAAAAAACTACTCTGTATTCTTCAGTCTTCACCCCCAAAAAACCCATTCTGTAGTGCGCAATCTATTTTTATTGTACGCATGTGATTCTTTGTTTGAATGTTTCGATCAATACTACTTCAAATCTGTTGGCTCGGCACCATAGTGAGAGGTTAGTCATTTTCTGGTTTTCTTAAGTAGGCTTTTGGAGTCTCGGTGCATATACGGCTAAACTCATTCCAATTCCAATTCGAATATCATAAATTCAAAATGCACACGCCAAGGCAGTATGTTCAATCCTTCCGCATTATTAATAGCATGTCAGTTCATATTCCGCCGACGCTCAAACGTCTTCTACACTTGGCCGATTTTTATATATGTCACTCTACATAACCTCGTAAAGTTTTAGGGTTTGCTCTTAGTTCTAATTCATTTTTTCTTTAATTTGATTATGCTAAAGCAGGAAATCAAAGCTGTCTAAGTTATTATGGCGAGAAGAGATAGAATCAGTCAGCTGCCGGAAGATGTACTTGACCATATTTTGGGACTATTGCCTATCCAACAAGCTGCTAAAATTGCAGTTTTGTCTACGGTTTGGAGAGATCTCTGGACCACTCTCACTCAGCTTTGCTTTGATTGTCACTTCTTTGAGTACTTTAACAGAAAGTATAGGCGGGCTAGCAAATATGTCAGGAAATCTTCTGCGCTGTATGTAATCACAAAAATTCTCTTGCAGCATAAGGGAACTATTCGGAAATGTGTCATTCATTTATCTCTTTCTGGAGATCTTATTGTGAGGTCTCGCTCCTTTGACTTTGATCAGTGGTTACATTTAGTTACGTTTAAAGGTGTTGAAGAATTCCACCTGAGGTTTGGGAGAGCATACAAGCTGCCGAATTGTATCTTTTTGTGCTCAACGCTGAAGAGCTTGCATCTTCATGGTTTCTCCATTGAACCATTAAATCTGCCTCGCACATTTCCGCCTAATCTCACATCTCTATATCTCGCATATGTTGACTTTGGTTCCACAAATCTTTCTAATTATGTTGTGGATGTTCCTATGCTGGAGAATCTGTCATTTTGGAGTTGTGCGAATATACCAGATTTCAAAATTACTGCTAGAAAACTTTGCAGTTTGGCAATTAATGGCTGGTATTATAGTCAACTCAACAAATCTCCCAGGCTCAACTTGGACTTCAAATCTATCTGTACTCTTGACTTGGACAGTTCGTCTCTCCAGGTATTTTAGCTACACTTTTTTTCTGGCCTATAATCTATTTTTGGCCTAATACACAGTACATTTGATATGGTCCAACTTGATTTTACATATGGTTTCTAAGTATATTGTTGAGGAAAGTGCTACAAGAGAACAGCTACTACAGCCTCATGCACTGAATGTGGAACTGTTGAAGGTATCACGATTTTGTTTCCAAAGGGATGTTGTGACCTTTGCATTTGTCAGCTTGCTATGCATATGCCCGAAGTTATATAAACTGGAAATAAGTTTTACGGTAATAAATTTATCACTTCAGTTTCCTGTACAAAGATTTAGTAAAATTCTGGTTGTTTCCGTGTTCTGCATTTCTTCACTTTTTTTTGCTTGGGCGCTGAACATTTGATATCTTCCTCTTGTTTTTGTTTTATTTAGTATGAAGAGGATACTACCAAGGCTATAGATGCTACATCGAACCTATTGAAAAAGCTTTGCAGTGTAGTTCGAACATATGATGGACTTCTCGTTTTGAAACTTTGCTCATTCAGAGGATTTAGGTCTCAAATGCTTTTCATTAAGGAGATGCTGGCCAATCTTCCATCACTTGAAACGGTTCTCTTTATCAATGACTGTATTTATGACAGCAATAAGAAACATGAGATCATGGAGGAAGTTTTGTGTTTTCCGCGTGCATCTATTAAAGCAAAAATTGTTTATTAGCAGCTTATCTTTCCAAATTGTTGAATATACTACAGCACTACTGCACTAGTACAAACTACAAATAAAGCACTTATTGTAGGAGCCATATGCCTATTGAATTGAAGGTAGTCTTTTTGTGCGGTAACACTCGAGGCAACGTAAATGTTATGTTAAACATTTATGCTACATGGAAGTTATGTTTCTCTGTTAAGACTTGTATGAATTAATGCCTTTTTATCATAATGGATTTACATATGAAATATTAGGATGTTTTTATTTGGATAGTTTTCAATTCCAGACCAAACTTAGACAATTAAAAAATACACAGAGACCAGACATTTATGAGAGCAGATCAGACATACTAGAGGAGATCAGAACATTCCATTCTAAGTTAAACATCCTTAGAGTGCAAGTTTTATACAGAGTTTTTTTAATATCATGGAGCAATGATACTTTTTTGTTGTGACAGGAGGTTTTATATGTCATGTCTATTTTTGATTTATGAAAAGCAAATTGTAGTTTGTATTTTGAAAACAATTTTGAAAAGTGAGAAAGTGATGACTATTTTAACTTTTAAGTCTACTTGAGAAAAATTCCCAAGTTGATGTATGAATTCGGGCATCCGGTCTCTCGTTATTGGGCTTGGACAGTGGTCCACATGCGTTCAACATATATTGTTTATATATATTACGTAGTATTATACACTTTATGCAACTATTTTGTATCTCTTAGATTAGTTTTTATTTGGTTGGGCCTATTTAGAGGAGAAAAACATAATACTCATAATCTTACAAATTTCTATTACATTGTTTTATTCCTATTTCGGAAATTTGTCCTTAGATATTATATAGATAAAAAAAATTTGCATCTTGATCGAAATACACTTAAATTTGCCGAAAATACCGATTCTTTTTCGAGATAATGCAAATTAAAAAAATAATTACGAAAGTATAGTTGGGTTAAAACTTATTACGAAAATATTGTTGGGGCGAACCAGGGTTAGCGTAAGCCGCCAACCCAGGTGGCGATTTCAAAGTCGCCAACCAAGGTAGCGGTTTCAAAGTCGCCAACCAAGGTGGCGGTTTCAAAGTCGCCAACCAAGGTGGCGGTTTCAAAGTCGCCAACCCAGTTGGCATTTTTCTTTTAAAATATCACACCCCCAGCCTGTCTTCGCAAATGAACTCTGCGCCCAAAAACTCTGTTGGTGCGAACGACGACGGCCGCGAGGGCTACGAAAACGGATTTCGAGCAGATTTTTGTCGCTTCCTGCACACTTTCTCCTACTACTCTTCCAGGTATTTGAGTACTTTAACAAAAAGTATAGGCGGGATAGCAAATATGTCAAGAAATCTTCTGGGTTGTATGTAATCACCAAAATTCTCTTGCAGCATAAGGGAACTATTCGGAAATGTGTCATTTATTTATCTCATCCCGGGGTACTTACGCTGAGGTCTCGGTCATTTGACTTTGAGCAGTGGTTACAGTTAGTGACGTTTAAAGGTGTTGAAGAAATCCGCCTCAATTTTGGGGATAAACACAAGCTGCCGAGTTGTATCTTCTCGTGCTCAATGCTCAAGATCTTGCATCTTAGTGGTTTCTCCATTGAAACATTAAATCTGCCTTGCACGTTGCCGCCTAACCTCACATCACTTTTTTTTGAATATGTTGAATTTTGTCCTACAAATCTTTCAGATTATGTTGTTGATGTTCCAATGCTGGAGAATCTGACATTTAGTAGTTGCAAGAATATATTTCACTTCAAAATTACAGCTCGAAAACTTTGCAGTTTGACAATCAAATATTTCTATCGTAGTGAACTCAGCCTCAGCATCGACTTAAAATCTATCTGTACTCTTGAGTTGGATAGTTATTCTGTCCAGGTATTTTAGCTAGACTTTTTTTCTTGAATGCGATATATTTATAACCTAATACTCCCTCCGTCCCTTAAAGGTTTGCCATGTTTGACCGGCACGTAGAATAATAAAGTAAAAACTGTGTGATAGAAATTTGTGCAGAGGAGAGAGAAATAACAGGAGCCACAAATTGATCGATTAAAAGAGAAAGTGGCAAAGTTTTTGGGACAACCAAAAAAGGAAAGTTGGCAAAGTTATAAGGGACGGAGGGAGTATAAAATAATACATTTGAAGTGATATATGTGACTTCAATACCATATGGTTTCCAGACAATTCTTGGCACAGGTGCTACAATGGGACATCGACTTCAGCAGAATGTGCTAAATGTGGAATTGTTGAAGCTATCAGCACTTCATTTGCAAAGGGGTGTTGAGACCTCTGCATTTGTAAGCTTGCTATGCATATGCCCGAAGTTACACGAACTTGAAATATGTTTTTGGGTAATAAATTTATCACTTCAGTTTAATGTACAAGGATTTAGTAAAGTTTTGGTTGTTTCCATGTTCTTCTGCATATCATTATACCATGGGCGGATCTTCTTAGAGGCCTGGTCCCCCTCCCAAAAAATGTTATATATATGTATAAAAATTAATTTGCCCCCCACTCCTCCAAAAAAATAGGTAAACCTCATATTGGGCACCCAACAGTATGAAGTTCATAAATACTTTTTGTGTGTGGAATATAATGCTGAGCCTTTGATTTGTTGCTTTGTGTTTTTGCTTTTATTTAGGGGACAGAGGATACCACTAAGGCTACAGATACTACATCAAAGCGATTGAAAAAACTTTGCAGTGTTGTTCAAACATACGAAAGGCTTCACATTTTGAAGTTTGCCTCATTCCGTGGATTTAAGGCTGAAATGCTTTTCATTAAAGAGATGTTGGCCGGTGTTCCCTCACTAGAAAGGGTTATCTTTATGGGCACTTCTATGTATGAGTATGACAGCTACAAGAAACATGAGATCATCGACGAAGTGTTGTGTTTTCCGCGTGCATCTACTGAAGTAAAAATTGTGTACTAGCAGCTCATCTCTCCAAGTTATTGAATGGAAGGTAGTTTTTTGTGCACTAACACTACATGCAATATATATGGTTATGTTAATCACTTATGATATATGGATGTTACGTTTTGTGCAAAAACTTCTATGGGACTATGCATGACAATGATTTTTTTTTTAAAAGGTTTACGAATGCTGTATTATATATACTTCAAGTTTTTTTGTATACTCCGTATTTGGCAGGACGGGAATGATGTCCTAACACTACAAAAAAAACACGGGATTAGCACGAATTTTGGCAGGGATTATGCCATATACGTGCCAAAAACACTTGGCACGAGCTATTTGACTCGAAAAATCGGTAATTCCGTGCCAAATTCCGTGCCAAATTCCGTGCCAATCTCGTGTTTTTTTGTAGTGTAACAGAAAGTAAAAGCATTAGAATTATATCTCTGTGTTTGTGTGAGTTATTATTGAAATTCAGTATATCGATGAAATTTGAATCAAGGTTCTATGTAAATAACGTGTTGGAGATATGTCCTAGGACAATCATAGTTTATGATTTATCAATAAATATTTAATGCTCATTAATTAATAAAGTTGCAAACTCATTTTATGTTAATTATTATTGTGAGTTTTCTTTATTAATATTTAGTCCCTGAATATTCTGTTTAGTAGCTAATTAAGTATGTGACTTAATTGTGGAATGCTACACTTTAAAATAAACATAATATTCTAATTGTCCCTGGTCTAATATTATTAATTTGGGACATTAATAATTAATAGACCAGTATGTGGATTAACTGATGGCTATATTCCACTAGTCATGGGTATAGAGATATCAAGTTAATAACATAGATGCTTGTTAGGGAACAAGTTCATTGGACAGACCCAACTTGGGGACACTGCTAGGTTATATGTCATCAGTGTTGTCCTCAATAATGATGAGGTGCTATATTCTTATACTTGAGATAATCATGGTTACTAGCATGAAAATTAATATGTATTAACACCATTAAATGTTATCTTTAACTGGATAATTATAAAGGTGGTGATTGTACATATTATGAACCATGTAGTAGTATGTGAATTATCAAGATAGTTTTTGTCACTCTTGTACATCGAGAGAAAGATATCTATTGGGCCCCTTGACAAGTAAGATTAATTAGCATGGCCATGCTCAAATGAGGTGTCATTTGATCAAGATTAATCTTACTTGGTAATCAAGAAATATTAATTGAGAATAACAAGGATGACACGACCTAACCTTGTCTCAATTAAGATATCGTTTGACAAAAGAGAATTGTTAGCACAAATTAATCATTAAAAGGTTATGTCAGATTTAATTGACATTTATATATTTTGGATAGTCATAATGCCTTGCTAGAGACCGCTTATGATTTGTGAAGCTCGAATTAATTTCTAGCCCACTACCAATAATATATAAACCTACAGGGTCACACACCTAAGTGATTTGGATCATTAATGTTTGTTAATAACATTAAAATAGCTTGATTAGCCCAATTCGAAATAGGTTTTCGAATGGTATTGGGCTAGGGCCTCTTTAAGGGTTTTATTAGCCATAAAACCCCTTCTTTACTCCTCTTATAAATAGGGCCATATAGACCCACGAATTTCAAGAGTTAAAATTCACTTTTTAAACCTAGAGTAGGGAGGAAGAAAGAAGAGAACGCTAGCACGTTCCCTGCGGCCGATCCAGTCACGTGCGTGTGGATACCGGTAGAGCTCGGGATCGTTTTCTCGGACTGTCTGACATCCCTGATTAAGATTGTTATGTAAGTCCCTCTTAAATTCTTGTAATTTCGTTTATAATAAGAACCTCAGATCCGTTTGTTTACTTTTGGGTAGTAAAATTTTTTGTTTATTCCGCTGCGTTTTTCTGCCCGAAACCCAACAGTGGTATCAGAGCCTATGGTTCTTTATTATACTCGGGTTACACGATTTGATGTATAATCTATAATTTGATTATTTTGGGATTTATTTTCGGAATTAATTTTTTATTAATTTCGAAATTATTGATTTATTAATTTCAGAATTTATATGTGTATGTTGTATTCTGAAATTTTATAAGGATGTGATATTCGAATGATTCGAACTTGATCCAATATATATTCACAATAATATTTGGAATGTTTTGTGATAATATTTTTACGAACCAGATTTGAATAGATTAGGAATTGGATGGGATCCTACAGCCTAATTATTCGGAAGAGATCTGAATGGACATGAAAATTCAAGAGTTTGAATTAGATCCAACTTGATACTTATAATGTATGTTTCATATTCGGAATAACTTTTGAGTATAACTAGGATTTTGACTTGAAATTTGGAATTTGATATTTAAAATCTGTCTTTGATTCCGAGTAGTAATCTACTTCGTATCACAGATTGTATTATATTTAGATACGAAGCTATAAATACAAACAAGAATATGGTGATTTCGAATTGGGTTATATATTAATTTCCCAATTTGAAATCAATATTAGATTGAATTAGATCTAGATCTATTTTTTTTGGAAGTTTTAGCTTCTTGTTTTTCGGATGAGATCCGAATTGATTTTACAAATTTATTCTTCAATTATACAAATTTAGTGATCTGCCAAATTAGTTCAGATCGAAGAATACAAAATTAGTTGGGATGAGATCCATTTTATAACATATTGGAATTAATCTATATTACTGATATGTTATCTGGGAAATTCGAATTTAATCACAAATTAATTATTTTCGAATTTTAGTTTATTAATTTTTATTCGTAGTTATATGTGTATTAATCTATATTACAGATATGATTTGTATTTTTGCATATGTAATACGAATTGTTTTAGAATTCATTGAATATGTATTTTTTCCGGATGAGATCCGAATTAATTACATATTAGTTGCGGATTTTAAAATTTAATTTTCAATCCGTGCATGCGCAATTATTTTGCTCCGTCACAGGGACAGTTTGAAGTGGTGGTATAGCATGATCTGAATGTATGTTTTATATTATGTTGTTTTACGGCCTGCGTGCCGTTTCCCACTATCCCCTGTAATGGTTTTCAACCCCGTAGATTTTTAGTAGTACACTACACAGGTTGAAGATGTCAAGGAAATATGAAGATTTTGGGATCATGCTATATCACTGCACTAGTTTTAAATTATTTATTTAAATATTTGATTGTTGCATGTGTGTAATTATTAGTCCCGACTAATAATAAGTCTAAATTGCTTTCCCAATATGACCTATGACCACCATTTAAACTATGCTAGTCGTGATATGTGTCTGCCAAAGCAGAGCATTTCACACTATCTTAGGAAGATGTTTTGAATGATCGTCATTCCCGGGTCTTAACATTGGTTTGGACTTACAAGGCCATCAAAATGGTTTTGGGCCTTGAAGCAAGGAGTGTTTGGATAATCAAATAATGTTGACCAAACAAACCAAGAGTCATATATGATATGATTAACAAGAGTTGTTTACCTAAATAACTAATTTTTAAGTGATAAGCCAAAGCTTACTTAAACTTTAGTGAAATATGGATCTTGGACCACTATATTTGGGACTTTCTATTTAATATAGTGGGAGTTATTTTTGAGCATTATTTAAAATTCTTTGCATTATTTGTTGTAGTAAATATGGCCGCCAACACAACTTTTTCACTGCGATCTATCCTTGAGAAGGAAAAACTTAATGGAACAAATTACATGGACTGGGATAGAAATCTGAGAATCGTTCTCAAACAAGAGCGTAAAGAATATGTCCTTGACCAACCAATTCCTGCTGAACCAGCGGCCAATGCTGCTAGAGTCATTAGAGATGCTTATGAAAGGCATGTCCGTGATGAAGTTGATGTCACTTGTCTGATGTTAACTATCATGGAAGCTAATCTTCAGAAACAGTTTCTGAATCGTCGTGCACATGACATCTCTAATGAACTCAAGAACTTGTTTCAGAAACAAGCACGGATCGAAAGGTTCGAGACGACCAAAGCTTTGTTTCACACAAGGCTTACTGATGGAAACCCGGTTGGACCTCACGTGCTCAAGATGATTGGGCTTAGGGATCACCTGGAAAGACTTGGATCTCCAATTAGTCAAGAGTTGGCTACTGATGTGATTCTCGCATCACTCACTTCGGCATATGACCAGTTCATCATGAACTATAATATGCATGGTCTTGAGAAGACCTTAACCGAATTGCATGGAATGCTCAACTCTGCTGAGCAAAACATCAAGAAAAATCGGAGTGACATTTTGATGGTCAAAAAGGGGAAGGGATTCAAGAAGCATGGTAATGGCAAGGTTGGTGGAAACAAGAAATCCAAAACCCTGGTTAAGAACTCGGGTAAAAGCAAATCGGTTGCTAGCTCTTCTTCTAAAGAAGAGCAAAAATGTTTCCACTGCAACAAAACTGGTCATTGGAAGCGGAATTGCAAGGCATATTTGGAGGAACTAAAAAAGAAGGGGCATGGTGATGCTTCCAATTCAGGTATCTATGTGATAGAAGTAAATGTTACTACCACTACTTCATGGGTATTGGATACCGGTTGTGGTTCTCACATTTGTTCAAATGTGCAGGGACTAACAAGGAGTAGAAGGCTGGCTAAAGGTGAAGTTGACCTACGAGTAGGCAATGGTGCAAAAGTTGCAGCATTAGCAATAGGGACATTTACTTTGAATTTGCCCACGGGCTTAGTTTTAGAACTTGATAATTGTTATCATGTACCTTCCATTAGCAGGAATATTATTTCTGTTTCTTGTTTGGACAAGAAAGGATTTCATTTTATAATAAAGAACAACATTTGTTCTATTTATTTTAATGAGATCTGTTATGGTAGTGCTAGTCTCATAAATGGACTTTATGTTCTAAACCTTGAAATGACCATCTATCACATAAATACAAAAAGGTTTAAATCTAACGACTCAAACCCAACATACCTTTGGCATTGTAGACTAGGCCATATAAATGAGAAGCGCATTAAAAGACTCTATTCTAGTGGATTTCTTGATTCTTTTGATTTTGAATCAATCGAGGAGTGTGAATCTTGTTTATTGGGTAAAATGGCCAAGTCACCATTTACTGGTAAAGGTGAAAGAGTTCACGGTTTATTGGACCTCATACACTCGGATGTATGTGGCCCAATGTCAACAATGGCCAGGGGAGGTTTTCAGTACTTCATAACATTCACTGATGACTTCAGTAGGTTTGGTTATGTGTACCTAATGAAGCATAAACATGAAGCTTTTGAAAAGTTCAAAGAATTCCAGAATGAAGTTCAGAATCAACTTGGCAAAACAATTAAGGCCATTCGATCAGATCGAGGTGGTGAATATTTGAGCCAGGAATTTAGTGATCATCTAAGAGGATGTGGAATTGTTTCACAACTCACTCCGCCAGGTACACCACAATGGAATGGTGTGTCCGAACGGAGAAATCGGACCTTGTTAGACATGGTCCGTTCCATGATGAGTCTCGCTGAACTACCAATCTCTTTCTGGGGTTACGCTCTTGAAACCGCTGCATTCATACTCAATAGGGCTCCAACAAAGGCTACAGAAAGGACACCATATGAGATATGGACAGGAAAGGTTCCTAGTCTAGCTTTTGTGAAGATTTGGGGTTGTCAAGTTTATGTAAAACGTTTACTTTCAAATAAACTTGAACCCAAATCAGATAAGTGTTTATTTGTGGGTTATCCTAAGGAAACAAAAGGATATTACTTTTACAACCCATCAGAGAACAAAGTGTTTGTTGCTCGTAATGGTATTTTCTTAGAAAGAGAATTTCTTTCCGAAAGAACCAGTGGGAGTAAAATTCAGCTTGAAGAAGTTCAAGAAGATCAAGATGGTCAGACTATGCAAGCAGTCCCACAACCTCAGCCACAAGTTGTTGTGGATACGTCTGAGATAACACTCGCTCCAAGGAGGTCATCTAGGGTACGTAACGAACCGGTTAGATACATGTTTATCTTAACTGAGCATCGTGACGTATTATTGATTGACGAAGATGAACCTTTGACCTACCAAGAAGCAATAACGAGCCATCACTCCGATAGTTGGCTAGAAGCCATGAAATCCGAAATGAGATCCATGGCTGATAATCAAGTCTGGGACTTGGTTGATCTACCTGATGGTTGTAGAACCATTGGGTGCAAATGGATCTACAAAAAGAAATTGGATAAAGATGGCAATATAGATGTGTATAAAGCACGTTTAGTGGCGAAAGGTTACAAACAAATTCATGGTATAGACTATGATGAAACATTCTCGCCAGTTGCCATGCTTAAATCAATTCGGATTCTCTTAGCAATTGCCGCTCATTTTGATTATGAGATTTGGCAAATGGATGTCAAAACTGCTTTCCTAAATGGAAATCTAGAAGAGGACGTGTATATGATACAACCTGAGGGTTTTGAACATCCAAGTAATGCTGGGAAGGTATGCAAGCTTAAAAGATCAATTTATGGTCTAAAGCAAGCATCTCGGAGTTGGAATCTTCGTTTTGATGCTGCAATCAAAGAGTTTGGTTTCAATCAAAACGAAGAGGAACCTTATGTTTACAAGAAATTGAGTGGGAGTGCAATCACTTTCCTAGTCCTATATGTAGATGACATACTTCTCATTGGGAATGATGTTCCAATGCTTTCGTCTGTAAAGGCTTGGCTTGGAAAGTGTTTCTCAATGAAAGACTTGGGTGATGCATCCTATGTGTTAGGGATCAAGATCTATAGAGATAGATCTAGAAAACTAATAGGACTAAGTCAAAGTAACTACATTGACAAGGTCCTGCATAGGTTCAATATGCAAGATTCCAAGAGAGGATTCTTGCCTATGTCACATGGCACATATCTCAGCAAGACTCACTGTCCACAAACACAAGATGAGAGAGATCGGATGAATAGAGTCCCTTATGCTTCTGCTATAGGTTCTATCATGTATGTTATGTTATGTACTCGCCCTGATATAGCTTGCGCTCTAAGCATGACTAGTAGATACCAGTCAGATCCAGGTGATAGTCACTGGATAGCAGTCAAGAATATTCTAAAGTACTTGAGAAGAACTAAGGATGTATTCTTGGTCTATGGTGGTGAAGATCAGCTCATTGTAAAAGGTTACACAGATGCTGGGTTCCAATCCGATAAGGATGATTTTAGATCGCAGTCAGGATTTGTGTTTTGCCTCAATGGCGGAGCAGTGAGCTGGAAGAGTTCTAAACAAGACACGGTGGCTGATTCTACAATAGAAGCTGAGTACATTGCTGCTTCAGAAGCAGCAAAAGAAGCGGTATGGATAAGAAAATTCATCATTGAGCTCGGTGTGGTTCCTAGCATTGTTGGACCAATGGACTTGTATTGTGATAACAATGGAGCCATTGCACAAGCCAAGGAACCTAGATCACACCAGAAATCAAAGCATGTACTCAGACGCTATCATCTCATTCGAGAGATAGTCAATAGAGGTGACGTCAAGATATGCAAAGTACCGACAGATTCAAATGTGGCTGATCCGCTCACCAAGCCACTACCACAAGCAAAGCATGAACGTCATACTAGTGCATTAGGCATTCGTTTTGTTCACGATTGGTCCTAGTGCAAGTGGGAGACTGTTGGAGATATGTCCTAGGACAATCATAGTTTATGATTTATCAATAAATATTTAATGCTCATTAATTAATAAAGTTGCAAACTCATTTTATGTTAATTATTATTGTGAGTTTTCTTTATTAATATTTAGTCCCTGAATATTCTGTTTAGTAGCTAATTAAGTATGTGACTTAATTGTGGAATGCTACACTTTAAAATAAACATAATATTCTAATTGTCCCTGGTCTAATATTATTAATTTGGGACATTAATAATTAATAGACCAGTATGTGGATTAACTGATGGCTATATTCCACTAGTCATGGGTATAGAGATATCAAGTTAATAACATAGATGCTTGTTAGGGAACAAGTTCATTGGACAGACCCAACTTGGGGACACTGCTAGGTTATATGTCATCAGTGTTGTCCTCAATAATGATGAGGTGCTATATTCTTATACTTGAGATAATCATGGTTACTAGCATGAGAATTAATATGTATTAACACCATTAAATGTTATCTTTAACTGGATAATTATAAAGGTGGTGATTGTACATATTATGAACCATGTAGTAGTATGTGAATTATCAAGATAGTTTTTGTCACTCTTGTACATCGAGAGAAAGATATCTATTGGGCCCCTTGACAAGTAAGATTAATTAGCATGGCCATGCTCAAATGAGGTGTCATTTGATCAAGATTAATCTTACTTGGTAATCAAGAAATATTAATTGAGAATAACAAGGATGACACGACCTAACCTTGTCTCAATTAAGATATCGTTTGACAAAAGAGAATTGTTAGCACAAATTAATCATTAAAAGGTTATGTCAGATTTAATTGACATTTATATATTTTGGATAGTCATAATGCCTTGCTAGAGACCGCTTATGATTTGTGAAGCTCGAATTAATTTCTAGCCCACTACCAATAATATATAAACCTACAGGGTCACACACCTAAGTGATTTGGATCATTAATGTTTGTTAATAACATTAAAATAGCTTGATTAGCCCAATTCGAAATAGGTTTTCGAATGGTATTGGGCTAGGGCCTCTTTAAGGGTTTTATTAGCCATAAAACCCCTTCTTTACTCCTCTTATAAATAGGGCCATATAGACCCACGAATTTCAAGAGTTAAAATTCACTTTTTAAACCTAGAGTAGGGAGGAAGAAAGAAGAGAACGCTAGCACGTTCCCTGCGGCCGATCCAGTCACGTGCGTGTGGATACCGGTAGAGCTCGGGATCGTTTTCTCGGACTGTCTGACATCCCTGATTAAGATTGTTATGTAAGTCCCTCTTAAATTCTTGTAATTTCGTTTATAATAAGAACCTCGGATCCGTTTGTTTACTTTTGGGTAGTAAAATTTTTTGTTTATTCCTCTGCGTTTTTCTGCCCGAAACCCAACATAACGATGATAGTATAATGTAAATACATGGGTTTGATGGTTGTTTGATGGGCATAAGTCTCTAATTTCTACGTAGTAGTTATTATTGAGTATATTAATTAGATAGTTTCTCAAAGCTTTTAGTATTACGTTTAGTATACTGAATAGCTTTTGAAAGATAATTTGAGTATCACTATAAACTTTTTTAGATGAAAATTGAAAAACAAAACTAAAAAAACTGGTGAAATTTTCTGACGGCAGCGGGTGTTTACGACAACTGCCGGCAAATATGACTGAGCCAGCAGTGGGATAAGGGGAAGCGCTGGATAGTTGGATAGGAATTAGAAATAAAAGAAAAATAAATTAATTAAATAAAGTTTAATCGCATACATCTAATATATATTAGGGAAAACTATCAAATAAGCCCCCGTGCTATGCCGAAAAAGTTGATTAGGCTCTCGTACTTTACAAACACTCAATTAAGTCCTCGAACTATTAAAAAACGTTCAATTAAGCCCTTTTGGTCGGTAAGTAATCAGTTTCCCGGTTAAGCGGCGACGACGGTGACGATGTGCTCGAACCCCAATAACGGCGGCTGCCGGGAAACAGATTACATTTAACCGGCAAATCGGTGACTTACCGACCGAAAGAGCCTAATTGAACGTTTTTTAATAGTTCGAGGACTTAATTGAGTGTTAGTAAAGTACGAGGGCCTAATTGACTTTTTCGGTATAGTACGGGGGCTTATTTGATAGTTTTCCCTATATATTACTTATAAATATAATTAATTGACAAAATATTACTATAGTTACTATGCATAGTCACTATAGTTACAAGGCTAAACATATTTATGGTCACTATAGTTACTCTAGTAATGAAGTTAAAATGGAAGAGAAATTAAATCCAAAACCAAATTGGGTATTCTCCCGATAGTCGGGAACTATTTCTGATATCAAATATATATATATAATTAGAAAATAAGACTACAAATTATAAAGTACAATAAAACCACTCTAAAGCAATGCCCGAGCTAAATAAAAGTTTTAAGGCTCTATTCAATTGGACTTATTTCAATGCAAGATTAAACAAGATCAAACCCTTGATTAGACTTAAATGAACCATATTCGATAATAGATAATATAGAGTTCGTATACCACGGGGCGGTGAGCACCACGCTCCACACCCAAAACGACGTAGTTTTAATCAATTTAAAAAAATTCGTGAACAGTACTACATGCGTGTACAATAACTGTTTTTAATTTTTATTTTCATTACAATAGCATGAATGATGTAACTTGTGCATAATTTTAGATGTACCTCGTGTTGTTACAAATGTAACTTCAGTTAACAACATATGTAACGTGTGCCCTGAAATGTAACTCATGTTTAATGAATAAGGAGTCTAATTGTCCAATTATTTTACATAAATTGTGCATACAATTTGTTTTTAATATTAGGCTCATTAAAATGATTGTTTTATAAAAATGATTTTTTTTATAAAAATGATTTTTATTTGAATAGGAGGGGCTTATTGGGTTGTGTAACTCGCATTATATTGTGATGTAACACATGTTTTGGAAAATGTAAATCAAATGTGAACAATATGTAAATTGGTAAGAAAAGTTGACATGTAACTGACACTACGTACTTTGTACCTCCGTCCCATTAACATCGGGACACGAAAATGTGTTGCGATTATTAAGAAAAGTGAATGTATGTAGTTCATATTGAATTGATAAAGTAAAAATAAAGTAAGCATAACTTACAACCACACACTCTACCAGAGAGTAAACATGAGATAATCTTAGAGCCCATTTGGTAACACTAGAATTGGCTGAATCGGCTGTTTCTGCTGATATTTATAAAGTTTTGGCTGAAAATATTTTAAACCTCGAAATAAGTTACACAACATGGTACTTCATAAAATATATTATTTATACCATCGATTATGAAACAAGGAAGCCCCAAAAAGGCCCCCAATCTGGCCGCCTGCTTGGCCGCCTTTGAAAAATCAGAAGTCAACAGTTGACTTTGACCCGAACTAGCAGAAGGCGCCCAAAAAGGCCCCCAATGTGGCCGCCTGCTTGGCCGCCTTTGAAAAATCAGAAGTCAACTGTTGACTTTGACCCGAACCAGTAGAAGACGGAAGGCTGCCGACGGAGGACGGAGGGCGGCCGCCCTCAGTGGCCGCCCTCAGTGGCCGCCTGCGGCACAAGGGGACGAATCCAACCACCGGCCGGTGCGATTCGACGGAAGGCGGCCAGACAGAAACGGCAGGCGGCCGCCTTCTAGACCGCCTGCGGCTGACGAAGACCGGCGCACGTCCGTTTGCCGGCGACAAGACGGAGGGCGGCCAAAGCTGGACGAAAGGCGGCCGCCTAACTGGGTGCCTTCGGAAAAATTTGGGCTATAAATACCAGGCTTTTTCCTTATCTCAAACACACCAATTTCAAGCCGAAATCAGATAAAAAAGGGCGTCTTCTTCCTCCTCAAAGCTCGGATTTCCACCATTGTTGCACCTTCAACTTCAATCTTTCATATCTTTCTCATTTTAGATCCAAAATGTGAGTTCTTTATATGTATTTTCATCCTTTAAATGTGTAGAATCTGAATCTTTACTTTGTTTGTTCTATCTGTGCTTCGAAAATTCCCAGAAAATTATTACACTATTTCGCATTTTCTTCATAATTTTGAATAAAATAGTTCTTGATATTGAATTCATTCCAATTAATTATATATTTGTTTACTAGCCTCAAGGTAGGTATTTATCAAAACAAGTTAATTTTTACGAAGCAGAAGTAATTTTTCATTAATTCCGGCATTTAGTTGTTATTATTGCATAAATTAAATTAAATACTCAAAAAGGTAAAAAAAATAGTTTCTGTCATTATTCCAGTTTAATTCAAAGTAATATCACTCCCAGTAGTCAATATAAAATTTAGAACGAATTTAGAATATTTTTAGTTGCTTTTTGCATTTTCTAGTTAAAATTGGGAAAATTATCAATTACTCGGGTAGTTGTTAAAATTGGATTTTAGGTTCGAAAATTCGTGAAAAATTCCAGAAAGTTATACTTTAGTTTCTACAAGTTTATTGTTCCAGAATATAAGTTTTTCTATCATCCATGTTTAATTCCTTGTTAATGTTGAATATATTCATTATATTGTTAATTGTTAAAATGATCTTTATTAGCTAATTTGTTTTGGGCATGAATTGACTAAAGGAATATGGATTGACTTGTTGACCAAAAAATTAGGGATTAAAATTAATAATTTGGACTAGTTGTTCGAAATGATGAAATAGTAATTAATAATTGTTAGCCATATTCATTAATTAATTTCTTGGAAAATTATCTCTAACTTGTCTATGAGATTAGAAAATAATTTAAGCCAACCATATTCGATCACATTAATAAGGCCTAGAAATAGGATAATTTAATGAAAGGGATTTACATCTTGTCTATGAGAGATAAATTCAATTGCTTAAATAATGAGTTTAACTAGTTAATGAATTTGGCTATTTTTATTAATTAAAATATTGGAGAATTATTTCTACCTTGTCTATGAGTTAGAATATAATTCAAGCCAACCATTTTGAACACATTAATGAAACCTAGAAATAGGATAGATTAATGAAAATAGTTTCTATTCTTGTCTATGAGGAAAGAAATTATTAGTCCAATTTTAGCTTTAATTTCCCTAATTACTAGGTCCAAGAATATATCCATTTCTAATTACTCAATTCATTGCTCTTATTTGCATCAATCCATTTAAGTTTAATATTAAATTTTTTCCTTTAGTTTATTTTTGAGCCATCATTAGTATTATCACAATTTAATTTACTTTCTTTTCCAAAAAGTAGTTTAGAAAATCAATCAAAAGTTTTAATTTGGAAAGCTTCCAATAATTTGGGATAACGTGTGACTGGACTTAAAATCAAGAAGCTCCTCCGTCATTCCTCGAGAGACACGATACTCGGGGAAAAACCGAAAGGTTAGACTCCGTTTTACTACAACGCCGCGAAAGCGGTCATCAATGTCGTATTAGCTAACTTTGTCATAATGAATGCATGAAATGTATAAAATTTAAAATGATACGAGTGTATGCTTAAATGTGTATTTTCATGTCTAAATTATTTATTTACTACCTCCATTCTCTTTTAATTGCAACATTGGACTTTTTGCACTATTCACATATTCTACTTTGACTATATTTTATTTATTAACTTATTATAAATTAAATTTTTAAAAAATATTGTTAAAGTCTTCTCATTCTAAAATTTCAAAATATGAATTTTTAAATTTTTTACTAATAAGGAATGAAAGATATTAACGGTCAAACGTGTGTGTTGACAAACGTGAAATGTTGACTGTTGCAATTAAAAGGGAACAGAGGAAGTATATATTAAAAATGAAGACTGAAGATAAATAGAAAGTATATATATATATATATATATATATATATATATATATATATATTGTTGGAGATATTCTTCGTCGGAACCTGCAAAACAATTTTAGAAAAAAAATAAAACAGCTCAAGACGCGTTAGACGCTGTCCTAAAGAAAGTATTTCCGGTGGCCGGAAATACTTCCCCAAGATATAACGAGCCCATCGGAAAGTTTGCCGGACACAAAAGTACGAGGATAGAAGTATAATATGTAACCCAGCAGTTTATTAATTAACTAATACGTAGTATAAGTATATTAAAGCTTCGTAAAAGAATTATGACTACGGAGTAGTGGGTTTGTATAATGTTAACAGTATCTTACTCAACTGAAGCATTAACATTCAATTTAAATAAGATGAAACTAAAATGTTTGTTGGGGAATGCTAGGTAATCCACGAAAGGGGGAGAAAATTGTGGTTGTCCATGTATGGAAACCCACATCCCATAATACTCGGTCAATGAATTATTTAAAGTGGAAATTACCCGTCTAGACCACTTTTGATGGCCGCTTATCATTTATGTCCACGCTACTTTCCCTTTTCATTTTTAAACTTTTTTGTTTTCAATTTTGTTTCTTTAATTTCACTTTTAGATGTTCGGCTACCTCCTCCTCCATCCTCTCCTCTTTGTCTATCTGACTTCACTTTCCCTTCTCTTCTCTCCAAATACCTCTTACCATCTGAATATGAGACTATGAGAGTATCCGAATGCATGGAAGATATCATCCACATCACGATGGATGGAGTTCTCGTCACTATGAATTGTTCTCGCTGGAGCGGATGGCGCAGCGCCTCGAGAATGGGAGATTGCATCTCAGCTTCGAGAGACTATGATTTGAGCTTTGAGCTTTGAGTTCACAAGTCGCAACACACGTAGAGGATCGATCGATCCTTAATCACAACAATCATTTAGAACTAAATCAAAGGACCGATTTACATGGTTTGAATTGTCTATGTAGGTAATCTTTCTCAATGATGGCTCTTAAATTGAAAAGAGTTAGTTCAGCTGGGGATGGGGCAAACTAAATCACAGAGATCTCGGTTCGTCGATTCACACCACCTGAGACGCCTACCCACCACGAACACGTGAAGAAAATCAGGTCTACACTTACGAAGATGGGGCGCTCACAGTAGCGACTGGATTCATCGTCGATGCTGCGCCCTGACAGGTCGCCTGGTGGTCTCTAGGCTGGGAAGCGGATGCGGGATGACGCTGTCTACATATCCTAGGCTACGACTCCACAGAGTACAGGGCATGGTACATGTTAAGATCTGAAATACGGTCTTCGTCATTGCACTAACAAATTTGGGGCTCCCCTTCTCAGGTTTAGTGTAATCATTGCTTGAGACAACATAATGGCACCAGAAACTTCAAGGATTTCCACAGAACAGATGCAAGTAGGCTGTATCAGCGGGCAGAGGTGAATTTTGACCATAAACCAAACCAGCTCCAGCTCAGACAAAAGCAGATTTGATTTCACCTCTCACACACAGGTTAGATAGGTTTGATGTCTTAATTGAAAGCAATTTTTTAATTGAAGACATTCGTAAATGCTTTAGAATATGCAGATCTCGATTTATGGTGTTTCATGTACTAAAATTGTAGATACTAAGTTATCATCCTGATTTTAATTGAAGAAAACACAAGCTATTAAGTTATCTAATCAGACTTATTTTCCTAGAGTTTGAACTTTGAACAGAGACTTGGGGTAAGGGAGTAAGAATCCTTCTGGTTCTGGAGCCTGTAGTCTTGTGCCCTGAGATGATGCAAAGGATAAGTTGAAATCTCATTCTATCCTTGTCAATTCATCAGGTTGTGTTTCTCTATTACTTCAACTAAATAAATTTCAAAATATATATTTGTCTGGCAGGAAAATCAACTTATGCAGCAGCAAGATTTTTTTGAATTTCCAAATAAGCATGCAATCATTAAGATGCTTTGAATCAGTTTGTGTTATTATGAAGTTTTTGTAGTTCAATTGCTTGATTTCGTTTTATGGATTGTTAATTATACTATGATATTCTGAAAAACTAATTTATAGTATAAGACCTAACAAGTAATAAGCCTTGAAACTAATTTTCAAATCCTGAAATGTTCTTTGCACTTGATCAAAATGTATGTTAAGATCAATATGAGAATTATTTTAAGATCCTGTTTTGAAATCCTGTTTGCTCTAATTTTCAAATCCTGAAATCTGCTTTGTACTTGATCAACATCATATGCTTTATTGCAGTATGAGAATTACTACAGAAATTTAAGGTTAAGATCAAAATGCTCAATCGTGTAAGGAACTTGCAGAGGAATCCAATTAGAATATGGAAATAATTTGAAGATTTCAGAGGAAGAACATTTCATCTATGCAGAAATGACAAAAGAAAATATATTTGGGAGCTTTTGCAAATGAAGAATCATGTAGCTACTCTCAGTCATTCAGGTATTCATACAAAAAGTCACTTTGTTCCTTAAAGGTTACAAAAGTGATATTACTTTCAAATACTCCAATTGTTTTGAAGGGGAATTTTCATGACTTATCCCCATGTGCGCTGAGAAGGACCTAGATCGATTGCTACGGCTGCTGCTATTTTTTTTAGTCACTTAGTCGGTGTGCTTTTTAGGTTATGAAATATCAGAAAAAGTTATAAAGTATATATGTACCTACTTCTATTTTATTGACTTATCTCCTTAAGTCTTTGTCCACCATTGCAAACAAAATTCACAAGCTCATTTTTTTGTTTCTTTTTGTTGCTTTTGTTTCTTTTTGTTGCTTTTGTTTCTTTTTGTTGCTTTATAATTTGTTGCCTTTTGTTTTATTGTGTTTCTTTTTGTTGCATCATGTTGCTTTTTGTTTATCGTTTTCAACTATTAATCTTTGTTGTTTGTTTTTCTTTATGATTCTATTTGTATGTAGTAGTTTGATATTTAGGTGTGTGTAGGCAGTAGGCACACACCTATGATGATAAAATTTAACCATGGATTGCCTGTTTTGCAAGTACAGATGGACTCAGTGGAATGTTTTCTTTATATGGACATTCACCAAGGAAGTATGGTGGATGATAGTCGAGACTTAAAAAGCATACTTCGATCACGCTCGATTCAGTAAAAAGTGTCTTAAACAATGAGAAGGTGCAAGGATAATGAGCAAGACCGTTCGGCAACCTCTTTTCTGCAATGTTTACACAATTTGGAAGCCTAGGGAAGAGGCTATATTTGCTCATAAGGTGATTAGTGTTGATAGTGTGTTTTTGCATATTAAACCTTGATGTACAGGGTGTTATTCATACTGTCTCCTACCATTTTTATTGATTTTTTATGACAGTTTCATTGTTTCTTTCTTGATTATTTCTTAGGAGTTTTGCATGTATGTACTAATATGCAAACTTTTGAGTGGTGATTTGCCTTGTACTTTGGTGATAGAGGAGGAGTAATTGTGGAGTGCATGGTGCTGATGTTGTTGCTTTGGGCAAACTCTGCCGGTCAAATTATTCAGATTATATGATGATACTGTGTTGCTTTGGGCAGACTCTACCAGAGTACCAGTCAGATTATGTGGATTATATTATGCTGCCGTTAGTTCCTTGGGGTAGATTATACTTTGGGAAAATCGTTTGAGGTTGTTTTATTTGTAGTTTAGTGGAGTATGCATTGACTTGTTATGCTCCTAATCCTTAAGTAGGAGTATCAAATATGCGCCTTTGTGATATTGTAAATTACAATTTTGGCATTTGATTTAGTTTTCCCGTTATTAAATAAAAGTGCACCATGGAAATCAACAATTTAGAAACATAAACAAACAATAAAAAACAAAATTTTAAGAATTAGCAACATGAAGAAACACAAGGAAACAATAGGAAACAAAAACTTACTTATTCTAAAGTATTTTTTCTAAATACTTTAGAAAAAATGATTTTTTTAAAAAGAATTCAATTTTCAATTTTTTGAAGTTCTCTAGGTAAGTATTTTATAATTTTATTCTCTGTGCATATTTTAATTTTACACACTTGTAGGTTACTTTCATTTTCTATTTTTTTTAAATTTTATGTAGTATATTTGTTTATTTTACTACATACGGAGTGAAGTTTAATTTATAATTTTAGAAATATTTCAATATTTATATATTTATTTGATATTTTATTTTTTATATGCATATTTTCCATTTTTCAAGATACCTACTTTTTTCACGAAAGCATCTAATTACTTTTATACCTTCTTATTATTTTGCCTGTTTTATACTACGTACCTTTTTTATTAATATTTCGATTTTTTATTATTCAAAAAGTTACATAATCAAAATCATATTTTCTACCTTTTTACAATTTCTCCACATTGTATACTATTTTTACTTTTTTATATGTTTGTTTTTAAGTTTTTATTTTAAATTTTTGTATATGTTTCTTATTTCCAGATGTTTTTTAAAAAAATTACATTCATTTTTATTTTTTTTTAATTTAATTTACATGTTTCTGATTTTTTCCTTTTTAATTGTTTCCGTAATGATTTTTTTATTTTTTTTCAAAATTCAATATTGTTTTTTACATTTTTTATTTTTCTATTGAAAAATAAATTTAAAGGTTGTTACACGGTCACACCATGTACTACGTACGGAGTATTAGTTTTTGAAAGAGGTGGTAGCAATGCAAAACTCACGTGCGTGCACCTTCGAAGATAAAAATGCAGCATGGTAACGGGTAAGTGAGTTTACCGGTAACGGTCTATTTTTGAAAGAAAAAATCTTAAACAGCCTACGATTGAAAAAGAGTTTAAGTGGTGACAATAGTGATATTATTTTCACGTTTATGTCTATTTGTGAAAATTACCCTTATTTAAAAGACATATCTGATTTAATTATTCAAAAGATATCCGTACATAATAGTTCAATATATTTATTAAATAAATTATATATAAAACCATTTAAAACTTATTTTGTTTATTTGAAATAGTAAATAATTTTCCAACATATATATACATGTTGTTCAACGTTCGGTTCGGTTTATGGTTTTTCCGTTTTAAACCAAAGAAAACCAAAGTACCAAACCGTTCGGTTTGAGCAAATGTTTAGCAAACGGTTTACTTAAGTAAACCCAAATCAAACCAAATCAAACCACCAATTTTAATAATATATGAAAGTTTTTTTGAGTTTCTTTAGTTCGGTTCGGTTTTGTTCGGATTTTATCGGTTTCGGTTTGATTCGGTTCGATTTAATACGGTTTGGAAGAAATAATACCAAACTCAAACCAAATTGCATATGGTCCGGTTTCGGTTTGGTTTAGTTTGGTTTGGTACAATTTGGTTCGGTTAAACCAAACTGTTATGTCCACCCTTACTTTTAACATAGCTCTGGGAGTTTGATGCATACAGGGCTAAAACTCATTCCAAGTCCAATTTCGGGACCTCCGCCATCATAAATTCAAAATCCACACGCCGAATTGAAGGCTTGATGCTCAATCCCCGAAAAGCTTACAATCCATATCTCTCCGCCGACGCTCAACCGTCTTCAAGACTTCGGTCGGTTGTCAAGGATTCGGATTATGTAATTCATTTTTTTGTTTAATTTGCGTCTGCTAAAGCAGGATCTTAAAGCTGTCTAAGTTATTATGGCGAGAGGAGGTAGAACCAGCCAGCTGCCGGAAGAAATACTTGACCATATTTTGGGATTATTGCCTATCCAAGAAGCTGCTAAAACTGCAGTTCTGTCTACGGTTTGGAGGGATCTCTGGACCACTCTCACTCAGCTTTGCTTTGATGATCACTTCTTTAAGTGTTTTGAGAAAAATTATCCGTGGGCTGGGGAATATAGGTTTTACGTATTCACCAAAATTCTGTTGCAGCATAAGGGAACTATTAGGAAATGTGTCATTAATTTATCTCATGCTAGGATTCCTCATGTGTGGTCTCTCTCCTTTGACTGTGATAAGTGGTTATCTTTAGTTACATCTAAAGGTGTTCAAGAACTCCTCCTAAATTTTGGGTTTCCAAAATACAAGCTGCCCAACTGTATCTTTTCGTGCAAAACACTCACGACCTTGCATCTTCGAGGTTTCTCCATCGAACCATTGAATTTGCCTTGCACGTTGCCGCCTAATCTCACATCACTTTGTTTGGAATATGTTACATTTGCTCCTACAAATGTTTCAAATTATGTTGTTGACGTTCCTATGCTGAAGAACCTGTCCTTTCGGAGTTGCACGAATATATTACACTTCAAAACTACTGCTAGAAACCTTTGCAGTTTGACAATTAATGGTTTATGTGGTGAACTTGACCAATCTCTCTGGCTCAACTTTGACTTGAAATCTATCCGTACTCTTGACTTGGGCTATTGGTCTCTCCAGGTATTTTAGCTAGACTTTTTTTTCTTGAATGTCATCTGTTTATAACCTATTACAGTTTACATATGAAGTGATGCAAGTTCAATTTCATATGGTTTCCAGAATTTTCTTGGCCCAAGAGCTCAATTTCAGCCGAATGCGCTGAGTGTGGAATTGGTGAAGCTATCGGGACTTTGTTTCGAATATCATGTTGACGTCTCTGCATTTGTATGCTTGCTATGCGTATGCCCGAAGTTATGCGAACTTGAAATAACTTTTTCGGTAAAAAAAGTATCACTTCTATTTAATGTCAACACATTTAGTAAAGTTGTGGTTTTCATGTTCTTCTGCGTGTTGGGCTACCAAAATATTGTGGGTAAACCTCTTATTTGGCCACCAATAGTATGAAGTTCATACGTCCTCCGTCCCATTTTACCTGTCCTGGTTTTTTGTTAGGTGTCCCAAAATAAGTGTCGAATTTCCCGTTTTTGGAAAAAATATGTGATTTACGGGATTTCACTTTATTATAGTTAAATCTAAACTAGAACTTTTACTTTCTCAACTTCTTTGTTAATAATTGTCACAAACAAAACTAGGACACATAAAATGGGATGAATGTAGTAATATTTTATCTGTGGTATATAATGTTGAACCTTTTATTTATTTTTTTCTTTTTTTTTGCTTTTACTTAGGAGACATCACTGGACTTTGAAGCTATAGATGCTACATCAAAGAGATTGAAAAAACTTTGCAGAGTATTTCGAACATACGAAAGACTTCTTGTTTTGAAATTTGGGTTATTCTGTGGATACAGGTCTCAAATGCTTTTCATTATGGAGATGTTGGCATGTGTTCCTTCCCTTGAAAGGGTTATCTTTATGGGCAACTGTATGTATGGGTATGAGAGCTACAAGAAGCATGAGATCATGGAGGAAGTGTTGTGTTTTCCGCGTGCATCTATTAAAGCAAAAATTGTTTATTAGCAGCTTAACTTTCCAAGTTGTTGAATGGAAGGTAGTCTTTTGCATGTGCATTAATGGTACTGTTATGTTAAGCACTGCTGCACTGAGGATGTAAGGATATTATGTTTTTAATTTGTGCGAAAAATTGTAAGAAAGAGATGATACTTTTTATCAAAAGGTTCACGTATGCAGTGTTATAGTACAAGTTTTTTGTATATATGAGGATGCATATCTGGCTGGAGTGATGCCCAAACAGAAAGTAAAAGTATTAAAATTAGCTGCGTTTTTGTGAGAGCACTAAAATGACTGTAATGTAAATTTAAACAAAGTCATGATCAAGTTTCTATTATAGGCATGCAACATGATTAAAGTGTATCTATTAAATTTTTTACACATTTACCATAATGTCACTGTGCTTTAATGTTAAAAACATCTCTCTTTTCATTTTATCAAATTAAAAGCCTTTAATTTACCCACAATTTCTTATTAGGGGGTCGAGGGATAAAAAACTACTAGCACTATTAGGGTAATAGGGTTTAGGGGGTCAAAAGTTCACATTTAAGAGCTCGTTCAGTCCATGGCGGTAACTTAGGACGGCAGATAATAAATTTTGATCATTTGCGCTTAAATGTGTAATAGTTAGGGTGTTTTCTTTTGAAATGTTTTCAATCCCAGATCAGATCAGACCAATCAGACTTTCTTAGTTATAAAATACATAGAGACCTGACGTTTACCAGACCAGATCAGACCAGACTAGATTATACCAGCAAATTTTAGTCTTAAAGAAAACATCCTCGGAGTAATATTTTTTTAAAATTTTAATTTATTCATAATTCAATAGATTCTACAAATTCAATAGTTTCACTCAAAGTTTAGGGTATGTTTGGTACAACTAATTTAAAAGTTGCTTTTATGAGTTTTAGTAATTGCTAGATTATAGTGATCGAAAAAATCTTTAAAGAAAGGTAGTGACTGTTTGATATAAAATTGACTGTTTGCTTTAGTTATGTTTGGTACCATATATAAGCTCTTGAGATTAATTAATATTAAAAGTTACAGACTTTTTCTCAGATGTTAATTCATTTACCATCTCAAAATATTCTTTTATTTTTGAAAAAACTATTAAAAGTTTGCATACCAAACACACATCTAGAAACTTTTAAGGACTTTTTAAATAGTACAAATACAAAACTTAGAAGGTAGGAACATATGTCTACCAAACATGCACTTAATGAATATGTTTGACATAACAATTTTTAAGAACTTTTTAAGAAAATAAAAGATCTAATTTTAGATGCTACACTAATTAGTACCATCTCAGAAAAGCCCGATCGCTTGTATACCAACAAAACTAAATCAAATAGTTATCGATTAGGGACCCGAAAAATAAACTCTATCAATATGAGACCTATAAGATCAAAATCTATCAATACAATGCTCAAAATTTTAACGCTATTAACAAGCAACTTACGGAAAT